TTCTTAGCCTCATAACTTGCCATAGTATCAGACCTCTACCTTCTCTGTACTGAAAGCCACTGAATGTGGAATGCAGATGACGAAGGCATTTTATTTTTATAGGCATCTAAGTAACAAACAACTGTTAGTTTAGCATATTGGTTTTTAAAAAATAAAAAATTTTCTGTTGTAGAATTAGCCACTCCCTCGACTCTGTAGTGCTGTAACATTCAACTGGTTTGTATAGTCACTGATTAAAAATGACTATACCTCTCAATGGTCTTACACAATAGCATCGAGTTATTTAACAACATCTTACACTGGTTTTTTCCTCTCCAGAGACTCTAACTGAATTTTTACAGTAGATATGAAACTTTATACTCTACTGTAAGGCTTTTGGGTTATAATTTGAGAATTCTATATATGCAAAGCCAGGCTCTGTGGAATTTCAGTGAAGTACAACTTTTTTTTTTTTTTTTTTTTTTTTTTTTTTTTTTTTTTTTCAAACATGCAAAATTGTTTTACCTCTGGAACACCTTGAACCTCAAATGTCCCTCTCTCATTCAGCCTCCTTCCACCGGTGCCTGGCAGCAGCCGGGGTGCACGAACTGGTACGGGACTTGCTCAGAAGAGAAGCCCTTCGTTAAGGTTGCACGTTGTAATCTCTCAATTTGATATTTAAGCAAGGAAGAGGAGGAGTGGGGGCTTTCCTGCGACACAAACCCTTACATATTATCTGTTTTCTGAAGGGCTCAAAGCCATCTTGTGTTGATTATATGTTTGGGGCAGTTGCGATTCCAGCCCTGCCGCCCACTGCCCAGCGGTGACTTGGACACCACCGCGGTTGTGCTGTGGCACGTCCCCTGGCGCAGGCGAGAGGACTCGCTTCCTCGGCAGTGTCCCAGGGTGCTGCTGTGCCTGTGGACATGCCTGTGCAGAGGATCACAAGTACGGGGTGGCTGGAAAAGACCAGCCATTCTAGCAAATGTGCGTGTCACTCATCTGCTCACTTATTTTAAAACAGTTGCTACTGATTGAAGTTCACTTGCACACCTTTGGTCTCCCTGTATGCTAGGCCTTTTTCTTTTCTCCTGATTCAGCAGTTTGCTTCCAAAGTGAAGAAATCCTGGTGTTTTGAGCAAGTTCTGCAGCTTGCTGCTTAACTGCAGTGGCGTCCTACTCTCCTCCTGGGTTTTCTGAGTACTCACCTCCTCCCCAGTTATAAGCCATGGAGGGGCTGATCCTCCATCCCACCGCTCAGCAGGCTGGAGTAAAACGCATGGGCACACAACAGTATTTCTCTAACGCTTTACTGATCTTGCTTCTAATGAGTGTGTGAATCCACTCTTTGCAGTTCACATATATCTGTGCTGTGGATATCCTGCTTTTTCTGACTTTGATTAACTCTGAATTCATGTTCAGGGCTGTGAATCTTACCTTGATGACAGAGCATCGAGATCGTATACCGCCTTAGAGAAGTAGCTGAACACCTGTGCCTTGTTTTTTCCATTTTAACTAAAGACAATGCTGGGTGTATGAGAATATAGAGTTCAGTTCATTGCCGTCTGATGTGCCTTCTGGGTCTGGAGACAGGATGCAACCCAAGCGTTGCAACGCTGGTCATGTATAACCCTTGGTACAGTTCTTCTCTTATTACAACTCATCATACACAACTGCTGAAGAGTGAGTAAGCACTTCTGTAATACGGCTGAAATACAGTTTCTGGTGGTTAGTTTTTTTTTAGATTGCCTTAGTATAATGCACTGCTTAAGGCATCCTTCATTCTTTCCTCTTAGCTTTCCACCAGCTGACATCAAAGTAACATGTGAAATATCTATTGAACTGTCAGTGTTTTGCCTCTATTTTTGTTGTTCTTCCTGCTGTTCTTTCAAGCTCTGATAATGCAGTGTGCTGGAGGCGATCTGGGTTAATAGGGTGATTACCTCAGCAAGAATGGTATTTTAGTTGTTGCAAAGTGAAGTGTTGTTTGGATATCTTCCCCCTGAATCAAGGCTGTTTTGCTCTTTCAGCTGCTGGGTGCAGATCTAAAAGCTATTGTGCTCCACCCTGTCTCACTGTAGCTTACATGTGTGCATGGTCTGAAACAAAAACAAGTGTACAGAATTTGCTGCTTATAAAAAATAGGCTGTCTTCAGTACAATAAGGTGATACATAAAGGATGAAGTATCTCCTGCTGTATTTCAGAGTTTGGGCCAACTAGGTAATGGATTCAGCAGCGGGGATCGATTTATAATACGAAAATAAAGCCTTTTGGAGTAATAGGTGCCACCATAATCATGATTTTATTTTATTCTCCCTTTTTGAAAATGAAAGGCAAGGGGAAGGACTGCAGAGGTGAGGGATCAGTGAAGCAAAAGGTAACCACGAGGAGCGGTATATCTGAAATGCGCTGTAGTTAACCACTGTGCCCTGGAGTTGAAGAGCATTTGATCAATAGTAACAGCACAACCCAGTCCTCTTTCATGTTCTAAAAAATAGCTGCTCTTTAGCAATCATGCTAATGTTACAAGAACTTCATTAAACTGGACTCTCAAGGCAGCTGACCTGAGCATCCTGATTGGAGTAGGAAAATAAGGCAAAGTCCAGGTCATGATCAGGGTAAATAAAAGTTGTGTGATTTACAGGGGAAGATGCATATCCATTGTTTTGTTTCCTGGCATATCTCAGATCACTTTGAGTTTCTGTGAGAGAAGGAGGAGTAACAGGATGCCTTGGAGTCAAAGCAAGATGAACCAGTATACCAGCAGTTTTAACTTTTGGGCTGGATTACAAATGAGTTGGAATTGTCTTGCCTAACATCTGAGCAGGCAGAGGGGTACCTGCCCATCACAGAACCCCTCGATACTATAAATGAGAAGCTGTGCCTGAAGAAAGTCTTCAGACACATAGAGAAACGAATGCTGACTAGTGGAGGAGAAAGCCAGGAATCCTCCTGGCTTCACAGACACCTGAGGAAGAAGAGCTGGTGAGGCAGGCGGGGCAAAACAGAAATTTCCTCCATCACCTCTGGTTTTGCAACTCTCTGCTGTTTCTGGTGCAAAGACTGTGTTACAATGGGTGAGTTCTGTAAACAACCCAATTTTTGTAAATATCAGTGGGGAAAATGAAAGAACTATGTTCTGGCCACTCTGACCTGGCCCTGGGACTGCTTCTGTGGTTTCTGTGGACTCGCCGCCTTCTCTGAGAGCTGCCAGACACGCAATAGTAAGTGACTGTGCCTTGTACTCTGAGCACCAAATGAGAGTAGGGGATTGCTAACTGAGCTGCTTTGAAACATGTGTTTTGAACACATAATCTTTGTATTTCTGTTGCTGTGACTCATTAACAATAGACTGCAAGATCAGTATATAGTGCTTTAATTGGCATGAACTTTTTATATAATTGAGGGATTTGCACTGAGATAAAACTCTATCAATTCCTGGGTATATGGTATTTGCCCAGTGTGCAGTAGCGATTTTGAAATCTGCGCGTGCTTCTGCTGAATTCTTTTAACCCGACCTGCAGGTGAGGAGTGTGTGCTGCCTCCTCTTTCAGAGCTTGAACGCTGGCTCTGCAGAGAATCACCAAGCATGCTTGCGTACGCAGTTACCGGGTGGTCAATCTCAGAATCACCGAACAGAAGGATCTTTCTGATATTTATATTAACCTGAAGGGATGGCACAGCAGTGAAAAAGGATCCCAGTTCTCGTCCTGGTTCACTCTTCAGCAAATTTAGACTTCATCCAGAGCTGGTTAATCTCTCTTGAAACCTGCTCAGACTCAAACTGGTACCTCTTGATTTCTGTTCTTTAAAGGGCAGGATCTGACTGTCCTAAATCTCCCATGTCAGTATATCGTTCTTTGCTGTGTTGCTATATCCATATTGCTACGCTGTATGCTGTATTCCCCCAGCTTCCCTTTAAAAACAAGGGAACAACTTCTGCAGTCTTCTGTGACTCTTCTTCCTCAAAAGCATAAAGAGCCCGGCAGTAGAGCTCATGCAGGAGGGCATCTCCAACTGCGCTGGAGACTTCATTGCTCAAGGCACTGGGAACCTGGGAGGAGGACGACTTCTGGAGGAGCAGGATGATAGGTGTCTGTTAAACACCAGCTCAGAGATCTATGACTAACTTGAAAATATACAGCTGTTCTGATCAAATAACATCTCTTGTGTCCTTACTTTTAAATGTCAGGATGACCCAGAAAATTGGATAGGCAGATTATCCAGAACATGATGGCAGAAATAGGACTTTGCGTGCAAGAACTGAAAATCATCTTTACTCAGCCTCAGCTTTGAAGTTACTGTGGTCGGCAGCTAGAAAAATCTTTCCGCTTGTTGCAACAACCTCTGTTTAATGGTGTATCTAACTTGGTATGCAAATACCACAAGTGTACAGTGTCCCTTACAGAGAATCATCAGTGTGGTTTCTGGGGCCTTGCCTATAGCTTTGCAGGTGCCATAGCCTTTAAGTTATTTGATGTTCCAATCTTATTTTGTAAATAGTATAGTTGTACCCAGGAGTGGCTTGTTAATTAGTGCTTATCTGCAGTCATTGGAGTTCAGTGCTGCTTGTTCACAGGCATAAGGTACCAAGGGAGAAGAGGGAGGGTCTGCAGATACAGAATTATCTGTTGGGATGGCTTTAACAACTATTTCGTAGCCAAGTAATCTCTTAAACACTACTGAAGAAAAGAGTATGCAGATCTAAGTGACTCAGTTCTAACTTCGTAGTATTTTCTGTACCAGCAACTGTAAAGATTTGTCAAGCTCTTCTGTAGAAGATGGATTAAACTCAAAGTCCATAGATTTAATGAAGATTGCAACCATCTAAATGGTGTCTTGTTAACCCCTTACTCCTAGTTGCCTGACCTTATGTTTATTCAGATTGGGTAGATCTCATGTAGTTGTAAATATCTAAGTTGGAGGTAGTTAAACAAGTAACCTTGTAAAACAAGTATAAAATGTGAATATGTCAGTAAAAATGCTTGTGTATATCTAACTGTCTCTCTCCTCATTCCAGTTGCAGGAGTTATTACGGCTGACTTTCTATCAGGATTATTTCACTGGGGAGCAGATACCTGGGGATCCGTGGAGCTACCCATAGTTGGAAAGGTTTGAGATTCTTATTCTTAAGCTTGAAAAAGTTATGAAATAGTTTCTGAAACACTTCCAGTATTCCCAGCTGCGTTGGGCAGTGTATAAGGCTGTACCTTTCCTGCAGCCGATGTAAGCAGCTCCCCCGCTCCCAGAACCCTCCTCCGCTAAACCGCACGGTCTAATATTGCTGGTAAAGTGCCATGTTTACACTTGGCCTAGGTGACATGTGCAAGGTGACACTGTTCCATTTTATCACTTTTTAAAGGTTTGCACACTGTTTTGCAATACCAGTGTTCACAGACCTTCCCAAGGTACTGTGGGAATGGCCTGTGACAAGCGTAGTAACCTGGCTAGACTTGTGCAGATCTTCCAAAAAGCCAATAAACACAGATGTGGAGAATTGTTCCTGTAGCTAAACTGTCTAAAAGCTGTCTTGTAAAACATGAAGAAGCTGCACTAAGAAATCTTTCCAGTTCTCTGTGCTACTGGCCCCTGTTGTAAATGTAGTAGTATTAGAATGGTGATGACTGAAGATTTAGATTTGAGATGTATTATACATCTGTTGCTACAAATGCCAGATGCTTAGTGGAAGGTTTACTGACTTCCATCATCAACACTAATCTGGTTTTTAAAATGAACTTCTTCATAGCTACTGTTGCTTACTCCTCACAGTGCAGTATTAGAAGGATCTCTATTTAAAAAAAAAAAAAGTATATTGGATATTTCTTGTAATTATCCAGAATTACGTGAACTAGAACAGCAGAATTAAGACACTTGGTTTTAGGCTTATTTTTGTTCACCGTCAATGAACTTAGTCCTTGAATCCCTGTATCTGTGGACCATAGTTTAAAAAAAAAAAAAAAGGGGGGGTGTGTGTGACACTGCACTGTAGGAGACTACACACCAAATAAACAAGACTGATCAGAGCACCTTTGCATAGGCTGTACGTGATGTATGTGTTATAGGCAAATAAGTTTTCTTGTTTTACCGTCCCAATGTTACCTATCAGATTTGCCCTGTCTCCTCTGGAACTGTGTATTCAGATGTGATTTCTTCTCCTTGAGGAGACTTTGGTGTAGTCTGTTTGACTTACATTGGTTTGTCTATGTAATTTAACTTGCATTTAGTCTGTTAATGCTGTCATCTATAGCCTGTGCAAAATGTTAGGCAGAATTTTCATATTTTTTTTTTTAGTGTTTTCTTGGTTTATACTGTTTAGCAAGTGACTTGTATTTGTGAATTTCCCAGGCTTGTGTTGTCTATGAAGTTAGGATGCTGATGCTTTGTTTTTGAGACCTAGAGACTGAAGGTCCTAAGTGAAAACTAAGAAGAATAAAATTGAAAAGTAATCAAAAACCAGATTTGAGTTTGGGAACTGAATTGCTTTGCAAACGTAAATCGAATTATCTGAATTGTCACAAAAGCTTGAGTCCTGCTTATGTGCTTTGTACTGTGGACCTCTCTTAAAACTCAGTCATCAAATTTGAATGCATGCAATGTTTTTTGGGTTTCTATATTTTTCTTTCCAAAATCATATTGAGCCATCATGCTTATCAATTTCTTTTTTTCAGGCTTTCATCAGACCCTTTAGAGAACATCATATTGACCCCACAGCAATTACCAGACATGATTTTATAGAGACTAATGGAGACAACTGCTTTATGACGCTAGTCCCCTTGGCAAACATGGCATACAAATTTGTTTCTTTTTCCCCAGGTAAGCTGTTACGTCTGACTTGTGTGGATTTAGCATTTTTGTTGATATATAAAATACATTTGTCTGTGTGAAGCTAGGAGGAATCAATGAATGCGAGATGACAAGTAATAGGTGTTGGAAGCGTGATGCTCCTGGGAGGAGGGAGGGAAGCTTCTCTTTCCTTGAAGGTGGGGCAACTGGAAGGTGGGACAGCTAGATTCTCCAGCTCAGCAGAGAATCTGTGACTGAAGAGTCTTGCAAGGAAGCATTAGACATTACAGTAAATATTCTTTTCATAAGAGGGATCAAACTGTGTGCATATAGGGAAACTCATTGTTCTAAAGTGTATAAAAATGTTTTGTCTCTGTGTCGATGTACTTTATTTGCAAACTAGAAGTGCAAGAATTAAAGTATTAATTTAATTTTATAGATGGTAAACTCAAAGTTGTCAGAGTTTAACTTCCTGTTTATGGCGAGTTGGCAGGCGTTGGCACTTACCAGCCTGTCTTGTGACATTCTGGAATTGCTTATGGCTCGCTGGCTCTCGTGACACTTTGGCCAAAGCAGCTTCGTCGAGGCCTTTATTAGTCCCTGCAGCACCAGGCAGCTCTGTCTGGGCAAGACATCATTTTCCTAGTAGAAATCTACCTTTTCATAAATGGTATTTAAAGATACACATCTTGTTTTGCAGAGGCATTATATGAAACATGTCCTTGGGAGTGTTATGTCTTTGCCCTTATCATCTTCATAACCATGACGAACCAGATTCACAAGTGGTCTCACACGTACTTTGGTCTTCCACGCTGGGTCATATTTCTACAGGACTGGCATGTTATCCTGCCACGGAAGCATCACAGGATCCATCATGTGTCTCCACACGAGACGTACTTCTGCATTACAACTGGTACTGCCATCTGGTTCATACTGCAAGCTCTCTTTGGTAGTCTAGTGCAATTCACCTGGCAAGATGTAATTTAGTGACAGCCTATTAAATACCTGGAAAATGTCACGGTGAAGTTAACTGTGCTCTTAGCTGCACAAGTTCTTAGCAAAACTATAGTTGACTTTGTTGCGTAAAAAATGGGGGGGATCATCTGTCATTGATTAAAAGATAACTTTCAGCCTGACAGTGGTACTGAGATCCAACTGAATGATTTCCTGGTAATCTCGTGCTATAATGGATTTTTTTCATTAAAGTTTTAATGCTGCTGTTCCTTCAAAAGAGCGTGTAATCTGCCAGTGCAATTTACCTTGAATGCTCATTTCTAAAGCAAGGCTTCTGGATTTTCAGCATACATTCATTCTGTTTTGGGGCAGAGGAGTGGACAGGCTTGCAGAAAACTGTCTTTAGGTTCCTCTTGTATCTATATTCAATTTTAGGCCCACTGTACGGGTGGGTATACACAATCATCAGTGTTGCACAATCCTGAATAAGTTATCAAGTTAATTAGACAGCTGGAAATAAACCACTCTGCTGCTTCATTCTGTCATTGGCTCTGACAGACAGTTTACATTGGTTTTGAAATCTGTGCCAAGACACAAATTTAGTTCTTATGACCAGAATGTCATGTGAAAACACAGTACAATTAAGAAGCCTGACTTGACAGTCGATAGCAAAAATCTTGCCACCCTAAGAGCTTTTTTTCAGTCCTACTAGGTCCTGAAAGTTTAAGCATGACCATTATTAGCAGTCTTGGGCTAGTCGCTCTTTTTTCCTCATTAAAAAAACAAACGTGTTCTTCTGATCACTCCATGCTTTCTGTAAGTGTTCATACCGTACTAGTCTGACATAACACAGCATGATAGATTGTATACTTGGATTTTCCAGTGGAGCAAAGTGTTTCTGCAGCCCTAATTCTTTTTCTTCTAGGGTAGAAGTGAGGAGGAGGACAGAAATATGCAGTCATTGCGCCATTTAAAGGGGGCCTTTACTGGGTAGAATAGGATTAGTTATTGTAGTGCCTTTGTTAGTGACTTAAGAGTGGATAGCCGATGCCAAAGAGTACACTTGGTTTCAGAGCTGACCTGTGTACGTAAAGGTCCGCCACTGTATCATTGCCAGGGAAGGTATCGGATAACAGAGCTTTCTGGCATTCCCACTATTAAAGCTTTCGCACAGACTGCCGTTTTTAGACACCAGGGAGGAGTCGTCCATTCCTTGAGGGGTGATGGCTGTGTTGGTGAGAATCGCATGGGCTGACTTCCTAAAGGGCATCGGTGTACAGTGAGTTGAGCGGACCTGCAGGATGGCAGGTGAGCTAGGAAAGGTCATGGCCAACTACACAAGGTGGCTGAAAACAGTGTCTGTCTTGATAGATCGTTAAAGCTGTAGTTGTGTCTGATTAGGAACGATTTAGCTCTCTAGAAATATGATATTCTTCAGCAGTGAATATCCTGAACGTTCTCTCCCTTTTAGTGTTTCTGTCCCATAATAGCTGTACCTGTAGTCTAAGACATTACCAGCAAGGACAGTTGTTTTCCTTCTGCTGGCTGTCACGGCTGTGGGGATGGTACTCGCACCCGACAGAGTGCTCCGCGGCAGCTTTTCCCTCTTCCAGTCTTGCTCGTGCTACGCTGCGTTTTAGCTCTTTCCTCTAACATGAACCGCTGCTGCTAGCTCACTGTTCCCGTTGCGGTGACAGCTTCTTCGTTCCTGCCTCTCCTTTGGTTTTCTTTTCTTACGCTTTTTTTTTCCCCTTTTTCAGAAAGGTACACAGAGTAAAACATAGCATGTGTGCTTACAGAACAGTACTGCAAGTGTGGGATAACTAATATTACTCTGTGTACATCCATCTCTTCCTGGTTACAGGAAAACTTCTGCAGGGAAATAACATTACCTGGTGCTAATTTCTTTTGGTTTTCCTAGTTTTACAATATTTAATAAAACAGAAGCCTAAAGTTACTCTATAACACATTGTAATAAAACCCTGTGAAATGGCCTCTTCGTGAACTCTCCTGTTAATTATATGTAGTTAGCTTGGCATCAAAATATAGTAACAGAAAATCAAGTTAATGTACTAATTAATATCCTAAAAGTGAGACATAAAGTCCTTCTGAATTCAGGGTGAGGTCTATTAAGCTTGTGTGAGTTCCAGCCTAACAATGTACAGTGCAACATTTCTCCAAAGCATTCAAAATACCCTGGGTCTGTAGGCTAGGAAAGATGCATCAAACTCCTGTTGCATGCAGAACGTGATGGTGCTTACTGCCATTTTTACATAAAATGGTAAAAGCTTGTCCCGTATCAACCTGTTACAGCCTTTCTGGTTACTTGGAGGCAGAAGTGCTCTGCTGGCCAAGTTTCACAGCTTTGGCAGTGTGCTGCTGGCGGTGCTGCCCTTTTAATGCGGGAAGTGTCCAACGTCAGCTACTGTTAAACGCAGCATGGTTGGTACAAGATTCCCCCATCACAGGCTTCATTAGTGATCAGGTATGCAAACTTTAATTTTGCCCAGGGAGAGCATAATACGTTTAAGTACCTTACAAATGAAAACTGATGTTGGAACTATGTAAACTTGAGGCATTATTTAAGAAAAATCTTTGTTGACCTTGCCAAGCCTTAGTTAGCAGTGTTTAAGTTCCAAATAGGAAATCTTGATTTTTATTTCTTTAATTATTTTCTTTTTTTTTTCTAGAAATTGTGGCATTGATAATGTATTTGAAATTTCAGAGCCATGTTGTGTGTGTTTACTTTCTTGCTGTACTACCTAATGAACTAGGTAGGCGTTGGAACTAGATAATCTTTAAGGTCCCTTCCAACTCTAACCATTCTATGAATGAGAAACACATAGAAAAGCCAAGTGGCTGCTGTGATGGGGAAAATAGCTGAAATTGTTGGGTTGGCGTTTTTGTTTGTTTGCTTAAATTTCAGTACTAAATCTAAGATGCTACTAATACACGTCTTGCTTCTAACACAAATCATTCAACGTGGTGGTCCCTTTTCTGATAGCTTTGTGATGGCCATAGAGTAGTTCACCTCTGAACTCCCCTTATATTTACTTGTGTTTAATTTAAAGAATGTTATTAAATAAACATTGCAAGACATTGAACTTCGGATGCTATGACAAACTAATCCTTTTTTTCCTTTGCAATCACCTAGGTTGGCTGAACTATCCATTAGAGAAGATAAGATTCTGGAGGTGTTTGGAGAACATAATCCAAGGAGTCACTGGAGAGAAGCCAAGAGCAGATGACATGAAATGGGCTCAGAAAATTAAATAACTTTTGCCAGCCTTCTGCAATCCTTAACTTCTTGCCAATGTTGGTTTTTTTTTTTTTAAAAAAAAAAAAGCCATCAGCCAAATTCAAGACCTGCAAAGAAATAACAGACTCTAAAGCACAAACTAAAAAGTGCTAACACAGACTGTAATGAAAAGAACTAATTCGTAAAACAATACTTGAAATGAAGATGATTACTCTTACTGAGCACCTTTTCGTTTAGCCATGTCTGCTTACGTCTTAGAAAATACTTCATCACTGTATCTCAGAAGGCTATCGGGCAAGCCAGAAGGCAAGACAGTCACTCCATTGGTACATGGTGGCGTAGTAAAAATGTGTTGTATCAACATTATTTAACACTTCAAAAATAGCTTGTTGCCTAAGACCTGTAGGGAGAATGGTGACAACAGTTTGTCACTTCATGTTTGAGTGCAAATGCACTGCATGAAAGCAGTGTGTCAGAGTAATGGAAGCCTATAAAATCATCACTGTTCAATGCACTTAGTGATTGATAAATTTACAGCTCTATCTTCGCTATCATGTTAAATCGAATTGATATAATATGGAACAGACTTCGAGAATCCCACTCCACCAGTGGCCCATGAATCCTCAAGTGTCTTCAGTTTCCCTTACAATAAAATTGTTCTACTCTCTATGTGGAATTGAGCAAACCATTTCTGTATAAGCCTTCAGTTTAACAAGGCTCTTAGGAGAGGGAGGGCACCCAGTACAACACATGCTCGCATTTGTTCATGTGGAGTGCTCACTGATGAGTCTTCTATTAAGTGTTTCCTACCCTGACAATAAATGTTTAAAATAGTTCTAGCATTGGGCACATTGCAAATAGCTGTATTCAGGAGCTCAAGGTATCAAACTTGTAATGTTAGAAGGGAAATGTCAATGACTGGTGTTTTGTTCTTTTATTTTTTTTTTAAGGTGCTTGCTTGTTTCTGTAAATAATATAAAGCCTTAATCTCTTCTGTTGTAATGGAATAATATTTTAATGTGATGTTTGAATGTATATAATATATTTATAACAAAGCAGTTGGATAATACTAATCACGTTTGTTAAGTCTTGTTGCTCCTCTTTGTTCATGCATTATCAGCACTTAGTCCAAGAACTTCATCACTGGCTGCAAAATGGTTTGTGATATTCCAACCACCTGAAGCACGTTGCAGCCTGTCAAGCCTTGTTTAGGTTGAAGTGATCAATTGTTACAGTTTCAGCTTGATGCTATATTACGTCAGACTTCAACACCTTTCCAGAAGTGCAAGTAGTTCTGCTTTGGATGCTAAGGAGTAACTCTGCTCGACGAGGGGGAGTGAAGTTTCCCTAAGAACATCCAACAGGCACTTTATCAAGTCAATGTGATTTGGATCTTGTTTAATTCTTTCCTAAATGAAAGCTTACTGATGGTCAAATCTAAGACTATTTTCCCTTCCCTACTTGTAAATTGTGTTGAATTCAAACTGTCTTTTCCTGAAGACCATGGTAAGGTGGTTTTGAGTCATAGGTTTAGACTGACCTTGTTCTCAACTTCTTTGGATATGATGGACCACAACTTCTGAAACAGTTGGCACTTGGCAGCTCTCCTTCGGTGAAAACTGCTGAATGCAGACATGTCTAACCTGCGTTCTGCAGATTAAAATCACAGTTGGTACCTTGGTTGCAAAATATTTAATGTGTTTAAATGATTCAGACCCTTGGAGAACTTTATACTATTACATCGAGCTATGGTCTGTTGCAGTTGTCACAGTCAATATCGGGTCTCTGTGTAGCTGTGACAGTAAAGAATATGTCCACTTTAGTAGGAGTGACAAAATGTATTTAGTTGAAATTGGAGGAAGAGGGGGGAATACTTATTTAATGCTGTTATTGCGGAAGATGGGTGTGTGATTTCATACTGTCTTTGGTGAGAAGAGCAGGTTTTCCCCTTGTTCTCCCACTCATGCCATCAGAAGCATTGGCAGAGAAGGCCATGTGTAAGACCACACCACGTATAATAACGCAGAGCACTGGGGGAAGCAGCAAGGAGGTTGTGGGCTTGGTTAGGGAAGATTGTTGCAGGCTGGCAAGTTCTTTGTTAATTATTGCCTACTTCTCCCAGATCTGTGTGTTGAAGAGGTGTGATTCTGGGTCAAACCTGTTGGCTCAATGTTGTTCCTGGAAGTAGTTTTATCTCTACTTGTTTTAATTTCCAGGCACTGACTGTTCAGCTTTATGTTAAAAAAAAAAAAATTGAGATGTGAATATAAAGTTAGGTGGGAAGAAAGGCAATTTCTGCTATTGTAGAAGTCAACGTGGCGATTATTGCTGTGAATCGGTGCAGTTAGATCTGTTAATATTTGCTATTTGTAGCTGAAACTTATTTCAGATTTCTTTGGCATGACAGGTGTTGAACTGAATATACAGTGAATGCTGGTAAGGATGCAAACCACCATGTGTCCAGAGCACAGAATGCTTCTCCTTCCTCTTGTCCCCATCTAGTGTGAGGTGGAGGAAGGCTTAGGAAACAATGTCTGTTACTGTGAGTACAAAGAACTGCAGTAGTTATTTCTGTAATCTTGAGAAAAGTTTAGATTCATGCCGCCTTCTACCTTGAGACTTCCATAGTCCAACAGATTCGTAGTCCTCGGTTATCTGTCTGTCTTGCCTTCATCCCTTTCTTCCCCTTTCCCTCACCTTTGACCCCAGTTTGAGTGAAGTAAACCAGTGCCAAAAGCACAGTACAGAACTGGGTGGATGCTCAGGACTCCTGTGTAAACCAGCCTTAAGCACTATGTCCTTTGAGAGCTCGTCTCTTACTGCAAATTTAAATGCCAAGTGAAGCAGTGGTGCCGTGTATATAACAAATGGATTTGATGCACATAAATTATTAGAATTTGTACTTCAAGGGTGCAGTTAAAGACAATTGCTGTTGTACAAACCTTTCTCAGCCACTTGATCTATAGTCTTACTGGAAACAAATCTGAGCTACTAATACTGGTGGCTGCTGGGGCTATCTATCTGTTAATCTTGATTAATTATGTGAAACTGGGACAGCAGTTAATCTCTGGATGCTGTTTTACATGCTGATGTTGTGCTGGACTCCTGAGGCAGCTCTCGTTCAGAGTGACTCAAGGCGTCCAACGCGGCTGGAATCTCCCGGTGTCCCGTGTTCGTGTCACTGTTCATAAGGGGACGTGGAGGGGCACAGTCTGTGAGCAAGGGTTGGGTTTGTAATCCTTCATCTTTCCCTCCCTGCTGTGAGTTGAGGTGTATCGTAAAGCTTCTTACTCCTTGGAGGAGGGTTAGTGAATACCTGTATGAGTATGAATTGGCTTGTTCTTGGGTCTCTAGTTGGTTACTGGAAACTGTTCCACCCATTTAAAGTAACAGATGCTTCCATAAAATCAATATGGCAATTCTGGAGCAAAAGGCTACATGGATCCTTCTTAACAGATGTAAATCTGGCTTAAGATAAATTTGTCTTAAGTTGATTAGGAACAGATTAGAGCTAAAGCAGAATAGGCACTCCTTTTCAACTCCACAGAGATGGCCTGCAGTTGAGTTTAACTCAATGCTTTTAAAAGCTATTTGATTTCAGTCTCTCACCTCCACAGAAAGATGTGGTCAGTCTCCTGCTCCCTGGACCTTCACGAGAAGGTCTTTCGGGCCTTCATCTTCTGCCAAGTGCATAGTTGCCCTCCAGCGAGCTGGCTGCTCGTGGTCGCCTGAGGGCCTCGCAGGGCCGGATCCTTTTCTTTACGTGTGTCTGTGGCGTTGCAGAGGTCCTACGAGCAGAGCTGTTTGGGGACTCGTCTACAAGGGGGAGCATTGCACTGTGGTAAACTGTGGAAAATTACTGCAAAGTGCCTTAAAATCCCGCTTGGCCTTTTCTTAAGCCAGTCTTCACCAAGCCTGATGGGCTTGAGTTTGGTGTTTGCTCTGAAGTTCCCATGGATGCATGTCAAACTGCTCAGCTTTTGTGCCTCCCAGCTTCTCCAATTTTGTTTCGTTTTGCTGTTGGACCAAGTAATCTGTGTTCTCTCCGCTCGCCTGCAGCCTTGACCTCTCTACTGGGGGCAAACAAGGAGGAACCCTGCTCAGAGCGCAGTGGCTGGAACAGACGGGAGGTGGTCCCACCGCACGAGGAAAAGGCTTACTCTTTAAGACAGCCTACAGACATCAAGTGCATCGACAAACGTGTGTCTTTCTGCCATGTTTTTGTTCTGCACTATTTAAAAAAGAAAAAAAAAAAGCTCAAGAGCTGTTTTGGTCCATGGCTCTTTGCACAGGGCAGTAGGGCCAGCACTCGCAGACTCGCCTCTGAGATGGGGCCAGACGAGGAGGTTTTGGCTCAGGTGCAGTGTGTGTCTGGCTGTCATCCTCCTGGAATGTGATAGCAGCAGGCCTAAAAAGTGGAAGGTCGGTAGGGGGTGAAGCTTGTCACCCACCTTGCCCCCCAAAGCTACTGGTTCTCCTGCTGGAGCAGAGGGAGTAGGGGCTCTGGCTGCTTGATGCCAACCGTGGTTATCCCGGTGTGGTCCCAGCGTCAGCATCACCGCCAGGTTTGCTGAGCTCTTGTGCCACCTAGCTGCTTGGCTGGTGGCTTCAGCTGTCCCCGCGCTCAGCCTGTCTGCAACGCGCTGTTAGAATTATGTGAGATAAAAGCCAACCACTAAGAAAAACATTGCTACTTTAAAGAAGCTTCAAAAAATAATTGATAGAACCAGTACTGTTTGCTGCTAAAAGGTGACTTAACTGAGTAAATGGCTTAAGATGCAATGGGTCTGCAAACCATTTTGCTTTGTAATTGTTTCTGCAAATTTTCATATGATGTCTTGGGGCACAGTTTTTAGAATATGTGTTGCAAGACAAACCAGAATTCGCTCACCTCCTCTTTTTTTTTTTTTTTTTTTCCCTTTTCTTTCTTATTACTGTATTAACTGGAGAGGGATAAGGGAAGATGTGCTGTTGATTAAAACATGGCATTGTAGATGTTCCTCATGTTCCTATGTCTTTTCTGGATTCCTATCAGCTGATTTGGGCCTGAAAATATTTTTCATCGTCATGTATGGGCC